GGAAAGATGCTGGTCCTGTGGATCCTGCTTTTTTTTTTTTTCTTTTTTTTTTTTTTAAAAATGAGTCAAAGTTAAGGAAAAACTATACAGTAAAGTTAATGCTATGATATAAGCAGGTGTTGGTTAACCACAGCGTGTGTAACTTCAGCTCTCCTCTCTGATTGTCAATGCAAAATTTCAGGATTTAAATCTGGAAAAAAAAGAGAGAAAGGAACAAGTACCCTGCAATATTCAAGTTGGCATGCAACTGCAAAAGGCTCCCTGTGATTGTAAAATAATTTCCTCAATTCTGTTGTATTATTTTGGCATGTACAAGCAAGTTCTTTGACCCGGAGGCTATTTTTCTTCTACGTGGGGGTATAGAGAAGGACATTCTGTAATCAAAGAGTGTGCTGTGCTTTCAGGTGATGGCAAATGTGTGATCTGCGACTCGTACGTGCGGCCCTGCACTCTTGTGCGCATATGTGATGAGTGCAACTATGGTTCGTATCAAGGGCGCTGTGTGATCTGCGGAGGGCCAGGAGTATCCGACGCCTACTATTGCAAGGAGTGCACCATCCAGGAAAAGGATGTGAGTTGTCATCCAGTCTCCTATTGAACTGGTTGTATGTGTCTATAATAGCTTAGAACTAGTGAGATAAACAAGCTTTGGCACGTGGGATGCTTGGATTCTGCTGCTAATAGTGCCACTGGTTTTCACTACATTACATCTCTTTTCCCCTGTTGGTCATTCCCTGTCTTTCTAAAACACTTAGAGAGAGCCTAGGAAGTAATACTCTAGTTCTCCTGTGCCTTTCATTCCACAGGGTCTCTCAGTACTATGCAGTGCATATTTGTGGTTCACTTCTTCCATGCACTGCTTGTTACTGCATTAAGTTGCTATTTTACTCAATCTCACAGTCTGCTCTACCAGGGTCAAAGATACTTCAAACTCTGCAAAGGTTAATGTTTTGGTAGGAGCAGTTTGTAACTAAAAGTCTGTGATCAGTCATTGGCCAAGGACGTGTGTGATACTGTAAGCCCTACGAAATGATAAACCATGTTTTCCTTTGGACTAGGAACTAACATTAGATATGGTGTCCCATGTCCTTGCTGTATTAATATGCTTCTCTGTGTTTAAAGTTTCATGTGTAATTTCACTGGGATATTATTTTATTATCCTTATCTGGAGTGGCCTCTATTGTAAGGACTTCTTCTCCCAGCAATTTTTGGTGTAGTGATCCTGTATTTCTGTAGTCAGTACAGTTTAACCTTGCCATACTGAAAGATAAAGAGAGCCACTGTGCTTCTGAAGTGAGGCAGCTGTGCTTGCTAATCACAGAGAGTGCAGGATGTGAAGAATGTCACCTGCAAAGGAAGTAGGAGAGAGCTTAAGCAGAAGCAAGAACACAGCAGTGTTTAACAACAGCTGGAATATCCCCACAATCTGGATCTGATGGTAGTCAGTGTCCTTTTTTTTTTGGTATTAATAAATGACTCTCTGATATTAATAAGCCACAATGACTGAGACACTCTTTTCCTTTGCAAATGACATCTCCAGCACACCTTAATGTTGGCAGTGAATATGCTGAGAGATTGGTTCTGATCAATTTAGAAGAACAGATTTGTCTGAGTTGCTGGTTTGATTTTTCTGCAGCACCTATATTTTCTCGAGAGGCCTCCTGCTAAATTCAGGACAGGGACAGGCCCAGTATTAGTTTAGTCATAAGATCTGACAACCATAATATCTAAGTGATTAAAATCTAAGTGATGTATTTAGGTATAAATGCTGTGATGGTGGCACTGCCTCTTAACTTTAGAAATGCCATGAGAAACAATAAATAATTTCATTAGCTTATCTTTGGAACCAGGACACCAGACTTAATGAGACATGGGACTTTGTTTCATTTTTTTACTGATTCCTACAGGTGCTGTGCAGTTATTTTTCATAATCTAAGCTAGCTCTCCTGTATCTTATGTTTGGGTCAGATTGGAAGTAGCCAATTGCTCTACAAGGCAGGATTGTATAAAATCTAAAGCTGAAGCAGCAAGAGAACCACAAGTCAGAACTGAGGTACTTTGACAACTGGATGAAGACTGCTGTGAGTGAAGACAGTTGTTCTGTACCAGCGAATGCAAATGTTAGAGGCTGTTGCGGGTGTGAAGCTGCAGATCTGAAATAGCTTGACAGGATTGACTTGCAGAATTGACAAATGCTGGAGCAGCTTTAGGCTGCCCAGAAAGTTGAGAGGTACATGTCACCATTGTGGTGGCTGGCGCTGATATGAACAAGAAAAGCAGATGGACAGAGCTCTGTCTGAAGTTCTAACACCCCAAGGTTTGAGACAGAGCGGGTGACCTTCCTTCATTTCCAAAGTGAAATGGATAAAGGAGCAAGGAAGCCAGGTTCAAAATGGGTGAGGTGGAATGCTCCTGGGCACAAAGTAAAGGGCCTGGTTTCTCTTGCTTTGTCCTGATAGAGAGAGGTAGGAGGTATTATTTCCACTCAAAATCTATTTGTAGGTAGGGCCAAGATACTGCGTGTTATCTAGGACTGCTGCAAGTTGCAGAAAGCAATCCTCACAGGGGACAGGAGCATGCTCATATGCTGCCTTCTTCTGAGGAGGTGGAAAAAATGAACCGAGCCCTGCAATAAGCCTGTCAAGTTTGTCACCAACTCCCTGGGCTGTGGGAGGGAAGACTTGGAAGAGTCCTGCTACTGAGGTTCAAAAGCAAATCATGAGATGATGGGTTGCGGCAGGCATATGGGGAAGGAGTGATTCTTTTTCCCCCTCTCCTGCTATTTCTGAGGTGCTGACCCTTCCTACCAGGTCGCTTCTCCAGGCGCAGTTTCCACGGTGGCTCACGTCGGCCCAGAGCCTTTCTAAATCTAATCCACTTGGCCTTGCACCACAGTTAAGGACATGTGTTCCCCTGCCTGCTGTGCCCCACAGTGCAGCTGCTGTTGCCAGCTGCAACATTTCACCATCGAGTGCCCCCCTGGCATACAGAGAGGCAAATACTTCTGATCCATTTTCAGCTGCTTGCAACTACACCTGCCCGTATCCCGTTTCCTCTTTCTGGGGCTGGCTGTCTCGCCGTCTGTGGGAGCTGTGGTACAAGAACTTCTCTATGTAGCTGCTGTGCATAGTTCTGCCCCAGGATGACCAGAGCCTCTGCAGGAATCAATCCAGAGTGCAAGAAATCAGAGGTTCGGTTCAGCTGTTGGAGCTGAGAAGGGGTCTGTAAACACAAGAATGCCTTGGTGATAACTAAAGCAACCAGATTCTTAGGAATCTGGTTAGGAAAGATTATTCTTCTGGTCCTTGTAAATTCCATGTATCCTAATTTAGAAAGAGTCTGGTCTTGAAGCAGTGAGCACCCTCCTCATTAATCAGCATTGCTGATGTTATACAAGCTGTTTTCCATCTTCATCTTAAGAGAGAGTATGTCCTAGAGTAATGTGAACAAGTTGTCTATCCTCTTCTCGCTCTCTTGCTGCTAGTAGCAAGGAGAGTTGGAGGGCAGTTTTGCCCATACAGGAATCTGAGGAACATTAATGCCAGGGCAGGGAGAAGGAATTGGGGACCTGCTGAAACTGTTGCGTATGATTATATTGTTTAGCTTGTCCATGTCTTACCTTTTTTTTCTTTTTTTTTTTCCCCTCCAATTCCAGCGAGATGGTTGTCCTAAGATTGTCAACTTGGGCAGCTCCAAGACAGATCTCTTCTATGAAAGGAAAAAGTACGGCTTTAAGAAGAGGTGATCCTACCTGTGTGTGGCTGCATCTCCTGTTGGGTTGGCGAGAGGGTCTTGGAACATCTCTGGACTTTTTTTTTTTTTTTAATTGAAAACAATGTTGATTTATTTTTCTGAAACAGTACAAATTCAGTAGCTTACTTAGGATCAGAGAAGTTACAGACTGAGTGGGGAACATGGCTAGAGCTGAGTATCAGAAAGGGCAGGTGGGGATTACTGTCTTCCAGCTTTCCAGAAGCCTTGCTAGTACCCGCTCCAGCCCCCTCTAAGAATCCTGCTGGGCAAGCCGAGAAGATCGGCTCAGTAAAAGTCAAGAGCCCTTTCTGGTGTTGGGACCACCCTGCATCAGTTCTCATCAGCCCCCTCTGTTAGTAGAAGTCTCCCCACAAAGCACTGCTGTGGACAGAGTGCCAGTCCCTGTGCCCAACCCCCACCCCAAGATCTTTCCATGCTGCCCTCTTTTGTAGGGAATGTGGCAGTGCTAATGGCTGGTGCGGCCTCGGCACAGCACAGCTGTTCTGTGCTTTATCTGATGGATTAATCCAAGGCCCTGTATGTAATTCTTCCTGTAGCGTGCACACCAATAAAGCTTTGACTTTGGGTTTTTATATTTTGTATAGCAGGAGGATTTCTCTCTGGTTCATTCAGTTCCTAGCTTCTCTGGAGCTTTCTGGGGGTGCCCAGGGTTAGTCCAGCCAGAACTACACAGTGGCTTATCTGGTTCCTGGCGGGCTCTGCCTATGGCCGTGCGACCTTGCTGCAAGGAGCTCCAGGGAACGCGACCGCTTTTGTGTGCGGGTGATCCCGGCCACTGATCATTTTGTCCTGTAGCATGAGGATCGCTGAGCTTGTAACCCTTATCCAAGCTAATGTGGCTGTGGGTGTTGTTTCACCGTGCAAACATCCAATCCCTTTCTAAAACCTACTAAGCTATTTGACTCGCTATCCTGTTCTTGTGAATAAGTTAAAGCCTTCCCTGCTGTAACTGGAAACCAACTATTGTGTTTGAAGCTATCGGCTGCATGCGGGCTGAAAACCAGAGCCAGCTTTTTTTGCCCATACCAGCACGAGCTCAGAGCAGTCTGTTTGCTCAGCAGAGGCCTGTGCACGGCTGCCTCGCACCGGGAGCGTAACGGAGCGCTCCGCTGCTGAGCGTGCTCCCCAGGCGCTCAAGCTAAAGGCCAAGCTCTCCATGCCCCACGGATCCCCTCTGCTCAGGGCTCTGAGCAGGGTCCATGTGCTGCAGCAACAGGATCCCTCTGCACAGCCCTGGCATGTAGAGCCAGTGTTATCCCCCTTCCAGGATTTCAGCTGTTTCCCTGCGGCTGCTACTGGCTCTTCAAACTTCTCTCTGGCCTAAATGCCTCTTCAGCAGACTCCCTCCATGTAGGTGTTTGAGCTTTAACACTTAACAGTTTGGGGTAAGAAGGAAAACAAGAAACCAGCAGGCAGGATGTGATCATCCTTCCTTTCAGAGCTGCTTCTTTCTGCTGCAACTCAGCTGGCTCTGGCTATGGCTGATCCCACAGCTTTATCAATATCACCTCTGTTCCCCCAGCCCTCCCAGCTATTTTACCATTTCCTTTTCCCAAGCTTTTTTGTGGTCCTGACAGTATGTATCTTCCCCTCATTCACCTTTGTTTTCTTACTCAATTTTTGGTTTATTTTTACTATATATGGGGATGCCATTTGCCAGCATGTTAAGAGCAAACTGGTTCTCCCTTCTAGCAAACCCTATCTCTCCCCAAGTATTTCACTTGGGGAAAAAAAAACAGCTGCCTCTTGATCCTGATTGGAAGCTTGTATCAGGGCCCGTCATCAACTACGTTATATTCTGTATTTCTTTAAAAGCAGCCCATGACACTCAGATTTATTTTTATTTGTACTAGTAAGTCTATCACTTCATCCAGAACTTGTCACTTGCTCTCAGGCCACCCAGATGATCACACTGGGAATGCAGAAGGTTTGTACATATCCTTTCTTCCTAGGAAGTTTCTAAAATACCAAAAGTTGTTCTGTGAATGCAAAGCACAGACAAAGTTTGTTGTTTTTGTTTTTTGCTTTTTTAATTTTTTTTTCTTTTGGAGTTACTGCCCCTGGTGTAGGGACTCCTAGAAGATCTAATTTTAGAGCAGCTCTTGTTTCTGAACATTTAGCAGGATCAGCCAAGCAGGGGTTGCTATAGAGATAAGAGTTCCTCATCCCTCTCCCCTGAAAAAGAAAGAAAAATAGGAGGTGATCAGAGTTATTTTCTTGGCGCTGCTGGTCCCCTCTCTCTGTGGATGCTGTGTATGTTGATCTGCGTTCTGGCAGCACGGAGAGCTAAGCTGCCATTTCGAGTTGTTCTGAGTCGCTGGGCAGGGGGGGAGAGAGGGGAACAGGCTCTTTCTCCCTCTGCCTTGTTTGCTCAGACGGCGCCGGGGCGAGTGCCAAATGCTGCCGGTGCTCGGATCAGTTCAGCGCCGCTGCCCTTCTGCTGCCTTTAGAGCATGGAGGGGACGTTGCCCTAAAGCTGCTCACTCAGACACGAGTAATGGGTAGAGTTGGTGTCATTGAGATTTCTGTTCAGCAACGTATCAAATCCAGCCAAGGCCCCTAGAAAAGTGCAGTATTTTTAATGAAAAAGAGATAAGCAAAATTAAACTCACCGAAATAGCACTGATCCAGTAGGAGAAAAAATAAAAGAGGATTTTCTGACAGTACAGGAGGCTTAAGACACATACTAAAAGGGCATGTTTCCCTGGGACAGCAACTGTCCTGCTCGTGTCTGCCTGCCAAGCTCTGGAAGGGTCTCCTTGGGCGGCAGTAGGGAGTTTAAAGGAGTCCTAAGTGGCTGTGCTGGAAACGCTCGCATGACAGATGCAGGGAGGGCTGGGAGGGCCACTGCAGTGCCTGAGCCCCCACCGCACTGGCCGCACATCCCGGTTTGCGGAGCTAAATGTGTTTTCCTGCTGTTACGTCTCGATGAGGGCCGTTGGTTGGTTTTCCTTTTATCAGGAGGAGGTTATGCAATGAGTATAAAAATCCTTTTATTTCCAGTGTTTACACTGGGGAAAGAACATGAGAACTCTTGGCCTGTTGAGTAATGGGCTCTTTGCTGCCAGTACTAACAAGGCATCCCTCGCTTTGGAAACACGGATGCTCCCAGCTACACATCCCTGTGGATCAAGGACCCACCGCGGCAGGGTAACTCAGCAGCAAGCTCAGCAAATAGCTGTGAAATGCCCCTCCGGTCCGTGGCACCGCGTAGACCTTGCCTTGGTCACGCACTTGAGCCTGAAGTGCTGCCCTTTTTTAAAAAGCCGTAAGGTAGGTGAGTCAGTGAGACAGTCTGTGAGCTTTGCCTCGTGGAGTCGCGGGCACTGCGGTTTTCTCCTTGTGGGGATCAGCTGGAGACACCGCTTGCTGATTTCAAGGGCAGGGAGGAATTTTTCATTTCCTTGAGGCTGTCACATGAGTGGAACGCGAGGCGCATCCAGGCAGTGGGAGCGTTAATTATGCTCAATTACAAGCCGGTGGGATGATCGTGCCCTTCCTTGGCATTAAGCGAACCAGCTGAACAAGCTCCATCCTGGCTGCTCCAAGATTCCTGCCCTCTCCAGGTGCACGTGATCCGGGAGCTCGGCTTTGACGTAGCAGCCCAACAGGCGAGAATGCAGGAGCGGATACTGTGACAGCAGTCCTGTGCGTGCGTGTGCGCAGCCCGATAATTAAAGGAGCACGGTCAAGACATGGGTATTTTAAAGAGTTCCCAATGCGCAACACCCTCTTAGTAACACCTTATTAAAGCAACAATAGAATTTTAAAAATGTAATTGCCTTTTTTTTTTTTTTCCTTAATGATGCCGTCATTTTAATTTCCTGATTTTTGGCTAGCAGCGTGATTTTTTTGTTTGTTTGCTTCCAGCAAAGCAAGGGAGTGTTAGGGGAAAAAAAAGATAATAAAAGGGTTTTTTTTTTTGTAGCAATAATCATTTTAAAGTAAAGTGATTAAAATAATGCTGCTCGTAACAGCCCTCGTAAATCTTTCCATTCACTCTTTTCCACTTTCCTCTACAGGAAATACATATATACATACATACATACATACATTCAAGAAAGCGTTTCACGGCAGGTGAATAACTTCACGTTGCCAGCGCTGCAGCACAGACTTGTCTTGGCGGAGCCTGCCCCCTTGGGCAGGGTAAACAGCCGGGATTTGGCCTGCAACCTGCAGAGCCGGGGCCAAGGAAGGGCCCTGGACACAACCAGGGCCTCCGCTGTATTTCCACAGCACTCTGGTGTGCTGGGCCAGCGCGCCCAGCCCGGCCACGCTGCCAGCTCACGTAACCGCTTATCTCGCGCTGACGCAGGGCAAGCCCTGCCCTCCCCGCGCAGACAAAACCTTAAAATATTCTGCCCTTAACGGGAGCTGGGAGGCAGCCTGCAGGGCTGCCCGC